TTTGAATTGGTAAAACTTAGAAACTTAGAGGACATGTTTAATGGAGCTGAAAATCATCACATCCCCAAAGAGAAGGCACAGACTGAACGGCAATATTGTCTGGTTGGGGAGTGGAAGTGAGTCTGGTTTACTAGTATCAGAAAACTGTAAACCAGCTTCAGCTGCGGCTACAGGAGAGAACTGCTTCTGCTGGGGTGAAGACGCATTGGTGGGGTGATGTTCACAGGAACCACGAGCAGACAGGAAGCCTTTAAAAAGAAGCCGGTCCTCTCTTCCTCCTCCAACCGTGCATTCTCCCTCCCTTACCGCTGTTGGCAGAGCATAACTCAGAGGCAGCTGGCAAAGCAGAAGCGGGGCACGCAGAGTCCCAGTGCCTGCACCACGAAACTGAACACAGAAAAGAGCAGTCTGAGTGTAGAGACAATGAGTTAATCGCTGGTACCACAAGGAGACCTCCTAGCTATTTCTAAGGCTCACTGTGGAGAAAACTAGGTTTTCAATTCTGGAAGTAAAATATGTCATTCAAATCTGCTCAAAAAATTCCAGGAAAGGATGGATTGCGAATCCCTTTTTAAAAAAATCACTGGTTCAATATTTACAATTTCAAGTTTTTTATTTCTGATTTTCAGGAAAGAATGTATATTTAATAAGTCAATTTTGCCCACAAGCATATACTTTCTCAAAAAAATTTTCCTCATCAAAAAGAGAACATACTAAAAGTTGAAATATTACTATTAGAATTCACTTTATGCTAAACCAATGACAACTATTAAAATACAACCATACCTTAATGAGTATTAGGTTTTCGTGTGAGTAAAAGTCTTAAAAAGTGGCTAAAATACAATAGACATTTATTTCTTTTATGCACATAAAGCCCAAGAGAGGGACTATATGGTGGCTCCAACATTATCAGGGACCCAAGTCCATCCAGGTCTCTGCTCTATCATGTCGAGATTGCATGATTGTAGTCTAGTCCAACATGGCAGCTAGAGCTCCAGCCATCACATCCATGTTCCAAGCATCGGGATGAAGGTAGAGAAGAAGAGCAAGTTGTACCCTTGCACTTTAAGAAGAGTTCTTACAAGTTGCACACAGTACTTCACTAACTACAAAGAAGCCTGTAGACTTTTAGCTGGAAAATCATATGCCTAACTAAAAATTGGTGCTGTCTTAATTTGAGTGAGTTGGGCAGAATAACTATTGGTAAGGAACTAGTGGTCTCTGCCAGGCTCTGGGAGGGATATTATCTCATCAATCATAAGCTTTGATATGAATAAGTCTATCAGCTCTTATTTGAAAGTGAGATTTCATAGGTAAGGGAGACTGAAGAGTATATGAGGGCACTAGGCAGGGGAGAGTAGAGGCTGCCGAACAGGGTGGCTGGAGGGTATTAAGGACAAACCTGCTCTATTCTACAAATTTGCTCAGAGCTAGCGTTAGCCCCAATGCCATCTTTCTTATTTATTCATTTGCCCATTTAAAGAATTTGGATTTTATGGTAACAGGGAAGGGCTCATGTATCACATATTTACTTTTTTCCAAAGGACTAAATTTTTAAAAAAAGATTTAATCACTTTGTTTGTGTTCTTTCCCCTCTTTTAGAAAGAAACACCTTCTAATGCTAAGATGGGTTTTATATTTCCAAGGTTATTATGTTCATCTTTGTGAGTTTGTCTCTCCTTTCCCATTAACCCCAAACATGGCATCATATTGATAAAATGTGATGCCTTCCATTGTGCTCTTTAAATCTCCTATGTGTGAATATGGTCAAAATGCATAATTCAGGCCAATTGGAGTGAACATTTCTCCATGGATGCTTGGGGTGAAACTAGCTGGCTTTGCAGAGCAGTTCTCTTTAGAAACTAGCAACATTTATTTACAATGTGTCTGGGTGAAATGCCAATTTCTTAAGTCATTTAAGTGTATGTATTTAGTACTTTCCAGCATCTTTGCTTTTAGAACTAACTTACAGAATAGAGCAGTCGACCATCCTGTGCCTTGTCAGAATCACTGGCAGAAACTGCATACATTTTTCAGACTCCAGAAATTGCACTCGCTTCCAGCTACCTCACCTTTTATATTTTGATGCCTTTAATCACAGTAAGAGAAATTTCAGGAGGACATTGGCAGAGGAAAAAGATGGTAGAAAAAGAAGAGAAGATTCCATTGGAGATTTTATGATGCTTATGTTGGCTTCAGAGAAAATATGAGTAGTGCACACACCTGCAAGCATAAAGATCAATTCCTAATCAAGATGGTGAAGTGGCGACAAACTGAACACCATCTGGTCTCTTTGGGCAGCCTTTCCTTTCACCCTGCACCCATTATACCACCCCAGTTCCCCTTGCCCATCCCCACCCCTGGCTAGTAATGTAGATTTTTCTTAAGGATATTGGTATGATCAGGAAAAAGATTGGCATTGCATACCATGCAAGGAAAAACTTATTTAGTAAACTACTTAGAGCAAAACAAACGACCCCTGTCGCATAAGGAAAAGCGCTGTCTTTGGTGGCCCCAATCTGTCTCTCCTGCTTTTTCCATTGCAGAGGCTTCTCTCCTGCGCCCTATTCCCCTCCTCCCTTGTGCCTCTTCTTTCTCCTAAAGGCTGTGGGGGGCTTAGTTACCTTCCCATGGGACATATGAATTGTCCATTAAAACAGGGATAAAAAGGAAAGAGAAGAAGCGCTGCTGGTGGAATTTTAGGCGGAATGAATAATGGAAACTGCTGAGCCCTGGAGCCAAGAGAGCTGGAGCTGATTCCCAGTTCTGTCATTTAGAAACTGACTGTCTTGGGCAAGTTATTTGTTTTCTCTGAGTCACAATTTCTTCATTTATAAAGCTGAAATAATAATACCTGTCTCATAGTCATTTGAGAATTACATATGTATATAAAATATACAATATCTGATGCATAGTTGGCATTCAATAAACAATTAGTTACCTTATCATAAGGGAAATGGAGGAGTTTTGGGGCAAGTCATGGGGCTTTCTCAGTATTCGAATCTGCTGGTAACAGTGTGTGCGTGTGTGTGTGTGTGTGTGTGTGTGTGTGAGAGAGAGAGAGAGAGACAGAGAGTGAGAGAGACAGAGAGAGACAGAGAGAGAGAGGCTGAGAAAGGGAAGGAGAAGTAAGTTAAAATGATTGCATTGATTTTTCCAATCTATCTTCTTAACTACTTTTGGTGTCTGAAACTTCCTGGTATCAAGGAAAGTGGGAAACAAGAGATGCTGGGTGAATGAGAAATCAAAACCAACAAAGCTGAGTGGTTTGAGGGGTTATATCACCCATTTGCTGATAAAACCTAATGAAATAATTTTACCAGATTCCTGTGTTCTCTAGGTCCACTTTCTCCTTTGGATGGTGCTGAGCGAGTGATAAATTTTGTTTCTCCAAGCTTCATTTTCTGTGCTGGCCACTCTTGGGCCAACACATTCTTTTGTCACATGTGTTAATATCACTGTCTTAAGATCTGTCAAAATGACAAATAACTTCCTTTTCTGTGCCAGACCTCATTTGATAGTCACAACTGCAAGGATTCAGACCTTTCTTGGCATCAAAATACAGGAACTGGGCACATACCTCACAGCTCTTTTGGTCCTTTATCAAACACAATGCCCTGACAGCATTTTGATATTACTAACACTGCCATTCTTGCTCTGACTGAACTCAAGTGCCTGCCATAGTCTAGTGTCTGTGATTGGGAACAGGTACTACAAAGCTTCTAACACAGATCCAGGTCACCTTTCAGGAAGTAAAGATGGTCTTAAGACTTCTAAAAAATATTCTTTCTTGGGGCTAGATTGTAGGCCTGGGGTAAAATTGTCTCCACCTTCCCCAGGGCAAAAACTCCTTAGGCTTCAGCCTTTTTTTTTTTTTTCTGGTTTGGGAAAACCATTGGTCATGTTTTTATAAAAAATATTTGGAAAATGATAGACAGATATAGATATATAAAATAAGATAGTGCACACGATAGTTACAAGAAGAGGATCAAGCAAAGCCTGAGCTGCTTCATCCCAGGGAATGTCTATCCATGTGTATCCTACCAGGAAGAGGATAGGCCCAAGATGCATTCTTGGTTTGACAGCTATGGCTACAATTTGTTAATGCCCTAAAGAAAAGTGGGTACCTGGTAGATATAAGGCAGGTATGCCCCCTCTGAGAGTTTTCATCATATTTTAATACTAGTTCATAATATCCTCACAGTATTTGCTGTTGAATTGCCTCTTCTGTAGGAGTTCTTAACCTTAGACCCTCAGACACTAAAAAAGTCTGGCACATTACTATACCTCAAATAAAATATATGTAACAAGTAAAAATATTTGCTAAGTTATTTCAATAAAATTAGTTTCACTTGGAATGGTAAGAATTTTATTTTTTGCGTTTAAAATCATTCTGAAACAAGACCCATAAGCTTCAAAGAGCTGTCAAAGGGATCCACGGCCCTCAAATGTTGAGACTCCCTAAGGTAGTCAGAGGAGGTCTTCTCACATGATCTGCAGTTTCATTCATCTAATTTCCACAGTTCTTGGTTCTCTTTTCTATGATCTCACTGCCCTGCCTCAGATGGTTTGTGTCATATGTGTCTACGATGTGCTGTGAATGTGTCAGTCTTTCTTTGGGCAGAGTACTCATTTCAATACAATAACAATGCAATTCATAAAGGAAGTTTGCTTCAAATTTATTTCAACACTCACTGAAAAAATCCTATGTACTTGCTTCTGGGCTAGCCAAACAGGATACTAAGTAAAAAACAGACAAACAAACAAAGAAACAAAAACATAAAAGAAAAAGATAAAAGATACTGCTCTTTATCGACTTTCAGTCTAGCAGCAGGGTGGGTGTTTGTGCAATAACTTCTTGATTTGTTTCCGCCCCAGATCTTGCAGGCATCGGAGGTTTAATGGGGACTTCCCTCTGGTCCAGACTGCTGCGCTGCACTGAAGCTCCGAGTCATGGTCTTTAGATCTAAGGTACTGGCAACAATTGGAACCCCAGGCCAGCAGAATTCATCAACCTTTGCCCTAAGAAGAAGCCCCAGATGAATCTGGGCTGAAATCAGAGCAAGGACTAGAGAAATATTTCTCTGTTAATGGAAAGAGGAAAGGAGAAGAGGGTTCCCCAAAAATTGCAGCGGACTCTCCACCATTCTAAAGAACCTACCTTCCTTGTCAACCAAGCTATTCTATCCAGTGACTCCTATTCTACCCTTTTGCCACAAACAGAGCATGTTAATCCTGGTGAAAAAATAAAGGCAAACCCCCAGAAAAATAGGCCTGGAACTGTAATACTCTCAAAACGGTCCAGTAAGAGAATTATGTCAGAAAGCCAGCCTGGCCCACCTGTGATCCCATCCCGCCGGCCTGGACTCCACATATGTTATATCTGTGGCCGAGAATTCGGGTCCCAATCACTTGCCATCCACGAGCCTCAGTGCTTGGAGAAGTGGCGTATTGAAAACAGCAAGCTGTCCAAACACCTGAGGAGGCCAGAACCCTCCAAACCACAGCCTCTCAGTGGCAATGGGTCCTACAACCTTCAGGCAGTGAACGAGGCAGCGTTCCAGAGTTCTCAGGCTCAGCTGCTGCCCTGTGAATCCTGCGGCCGCACATTCTTGCCAGATCGTCTTCTTGTTCACCAGAGAAGTTGCAAGCCAAAGGGTAAGGGGCCCACAGCACCAAACCCCAACAGTTCTAATGATCTTTCTGGTCTTAAGAAAGCTTCTGGTGGCATCCCAGCTCGACCAAAGACTCTCATCTGCTACATTTGTGGTAGGGAATTTGGCACCCTTTCCCTTCCTATTCATGAGCCCAAATGCCTGGAAAAGTGGAAAATAGAAAATGACCGGCTCCCCAGGGAGCTCCGCCGGCCACTCCCACAGAAGTCTCAGCCCCCTATTACCGGAGAGGGGCCAAGTCAAGCTCAGCTTGTGCCCTGCCCAAATTGTGGCCGGACCTTTGCCCCCGACCGCCTTCTGGTACACCAGAGAAGTTGTAAAGCTCAACCAAGTGGGCCACAAGTTCAGAACTTGACCTTAGGGAGTAAAGGCGGCTTGAAAGAGTCCACTAATTTCAAGCAGCAAAAGAACACTGCAGCACCCACTGTGAGTGATCAGGTAATTCAAGCCACATGAGATGCACTGGGTAGACCTGGGAGTGCATTCTGCCTGCAGAGGCGTGAGAGAACACTGACCCAGGATCAACTGCCTCAGCCCCTGCAATGGTTTATTTCAAAGCCTATTTTTGCCCCAATGCAGCCTGTCCAAGATGACCCCTGTCGAACTCCGGGGGCCGTATCTCTGTTGGCAAAGTAGACGTAAGAACATCCTTGCCGGGTGGGTTCATAGTCCTCTTCCATTCTGCTGCCTAACAGAGAGAGAGAGATGGACTTCTTGCTTCTCTGATCCCTCATAACAACAATCCTTGGGAGAGACTGTTGTTTGAAAATGAGTCATTAATGCTATGTCTACATTACAGAGCTATAATCCCCGTTCCAAAAGCCAATATTTATTACCAGTTTATTTTAGTCATCTACCTTAGGAATTCATTTTTGGCAATCTGGGTTATGCTGAGTTTATCTTACTAAAATAGAATCTGTGTCAAAAACCCCAAATGACTTTAGCAATAATTAAACACTGGAACACTTGCAGAAACAGACATGTTCTACGAATGCTGCATGTTTTCTTTTAACACTTACATGATTGTAGTGTGTGGGGCATTAACCCCAGCATAGGCACTTAAGCAACTAGGTGTATGTTCATGATTCTGGCAAATGCCAAATTCCCACTGCTGCTCTATACCTTGTGTTTGGGTTAGACACCATGCCCCGACTTACCTCTTGGGCAATTGTAAATAAGCATGACCCCGTGACCCCAAGGGTTGGGCCTTCAGCTGAGGTTTCATCATCAGCCAGGATGGAGATGGATACTTAGGAGGGTGGCTGCCTGCAAAATGGCTTGGCCCATGGACTTTGACCGACCATTAAACCAGGGGAGTGGGTATGTTCTTCTGTATCACAACTTACAGAACGTCAAATCCTGAGAAATAGGATGTGGTCAAAGTCTTTTTTGTTTTTCTCCTATGACTGACTATTTGAAACACTCACCTGCAGGATCATTAAATGGACTGTTTTTAGGAAACTAGAGTTACTCAAGCTATTTCAAAGGATTTAACCGGAGGGAGTTGGAGGAGGGGGAGAGCTTTTATTTTTAATCCCAATTTTCTTCCTTCCTTCTTCACTGAATTATTTTGACAAATATCTAGTACTTTTCCCTAATTTCCATGATTAAAATGAAATTATTACGGACTTGCTGGTTTAGAAGACTTTAAGCCAATGATTCTAAAGCTGAAGAGATCAACTCATGGAAGCCGGGTGAGTTTTCTGGTGAACCTTGTAGAAAGAATGGCTGGTCTCTTTGCTGAATGAAAACCCAAATTCTTAAGTGTGGCATGGACTGCAGGCTGGTCTCACAAACATGATCTGTTTTTCTCATCTTCTGGCTGTTGCTTTTCTTCCAGAACATGTGAAGTCTGGATTAAAAGAGCAAAAGGATCGTGTCTCAGGGTCACAATCTGAAACTCTGTTAGTGTATGACTTTCAGCCCTGTTTCCCAATTGTATGCATTTACTTCAAATGTTCTCATTACAGATCTTGAGATAGGGAAGAGTGTGGTCAGGATTCTTGGTCTTGTTGTTATAATACATACTTTGTGCTCCCAAGAGTGGAGCCAACAGGCTGAGCACAGCATGTTCTCACTCAGTCACGACTGCTAAAAGAGGCTGGCCTGGGCCCATGGCTTCACAAGAAGACACCTTCTGACTCACGCAGTCATCTGGAGCGGAGAATGTCAGGAGGGGAGGCCAGCAATGGCCCTTGATGGCTCATGCATTTCCATCAGTGTAGGGGGAATTCATCAGAACAAGGGCATCTAGAGGCCACGGCCTGCTCCCAGACCTGAAAAGGCATGTGTCAGTGAGAGAGTGATGCCTACGGCTGTCAGATGTGTGCTAGCCTGTTTGGGGACCTTGTGGGCTTTAGTGGAGGTCATAGAAAGGTCATGTAACTTAGGGCCCCTTTAGTCGCCAGATTTAAAGCAAGCTTACTTTAATTACAATGGAGAAACCTCTTAGGCTTCAAAGAGGCATACGATTCATGAAGCAATGGACTTTATTCCCTCACTAAAAAAGAGGTTTGCCATACAATGTTGCTTTCAGCAGAAAACCTCTCCTGGGTCCTCTAGTTTTTTCTTTTGTCTATGATTTGATCCTGTATGTTACTGTGTTTTTTTATTGTATCATTGAAAATTCAGATAGTGCTGTGAGAATACATTTTTCATAAAGAGCATTGACCTATGCATTGTTAGATTTAGATTTCAGAATTTCATCTGCCTGTGACAGTCAACTTTGGGCCGAATACGACGCACACACATTCTTTTTACAGTTCAAATGTTTGCTTCATTTCTTCTCTCGTCAATTATAACAATTTCCCTCTAGAATTCTTGATTTGACTTCTGATGAGAATCAATGATCTTGCCTGATGTTCCTAGGGGCCTCAGTCTTGTAGTGAATTCAGGTAAGAAAAATATTTTCAGAACCATGATCATAGTACTTGGAAAACAATTCACTCCAGTTGGGCAACAATGACTGTTTCGCTGGCAGAATGAATTACCTTCTGCTCAGAATGTTCTTCCAACATAGATTGGCTCAGTCCCCTTATGACACAGATGCTTCTGTCACCTTTCAGTCATTTCTAAACCTAAACAAATGCCACTAAGGCAAATTCTCTTCCAAGACCTCACTCAGTGGGCACTTTGCATTAGCCCTGTTCTATAGCCACTGTGCAGGCTTGAATTGTCCTGTTGCTTCCCATTCAAAATATAGGGCTGAATTCACCTCTTCTGATTGCACAGGAAAGATGTGAAGGATACTAAGCAGTGTGGAAGAGGAATAAAGCCTCAGTGTGTGTTTGTATTTAGAAAGTGCACCTGCCCTGGGCTTGTGGCTCTCGCATTACAGTGTTACCAGCAGCACTAAACTCCCTTTCCTCTCCCTAAAAGAAGGAAAGCTGGAATAAGCAATGCCCAATTTAGCAAGATTTTAATAATGGCATTAATCCCAGGTGAGGTTTAATGTATACTATGGAGAATCATGGATTATAATTTCAAATTTTAATATTGCATTTCTTTCGTGAGATCTTGAGGTCTGTTTTACTAAGTAGTTCCCTAAGCGATGCCGAAACTACAGTAACAGAGGTCATTTCCACTTTGTTTTAATATGAGGGGATAAATTTTGATATTTACATTAAATATTTGGAAAAATATTTTCCTTTTCTAGAAGCCAACAGTATTTCTTTTTTATTCTTTTTTTTATTTTTTATTTTTTGGCAGGGGGAGCTTTAGGCCCTTTCTAGCTGATTGGAACACAGGTTGACAGAGTTAATTGAATATAACTATAAACCAAAACAAAACCTTTGTCAACCTTTTACCAGTTAGATAATGCTTGGGGTTATTTTTTTAAGATGATGCTTGTAATATGTGAAATACTGTCCCCCAAAATCCTTTACTATATCATAAAGTAGGCATCATTTTCTCTATAGGGAAACTATCTTTTCTATAAATGATTATATCTCTCAATGTAGTTTTAAGCCACCTTTGACATCCTACATGCTCAGGTTTGAGCTAAAAAATCCCTTCAGATACTTCTTTAGCATCTGGTGCTGCCATCTGGTGTTTTCTTTTAAAGTAATATGTTCCACACTATCAAAAACACCATTGCCTTTCCCTTTGTGTTACCTCCAAATATATTTGAGAAGGTACCTTTATGGTATAAACTTCAGTTACTTAGGACTTTGGTTACATTTGGGTTAATGTTATAAATTCTGTTTCATGGTTAAGTGTCTCATTCTCTAAAGGCAAAACTCTGATTAAGAAAGTCACAATAAGAAAGATTCAGAATGGCAAGATGGATCGTTTCACATTGTCAAAGTTGTGTGTATGCATGTGTACCTACTGGGTAAGAAATATTTAGAGTTTATTGGGAGGCATGGAAGAAAGGGAAGGGAACTTTTCTGAGTATTTTTATGATCCTCACTTTATGTGATCTCATTTTAATCTTCATAATATTACTAAAAGACAGATATTATTTTCCCCACTTTCTGGTAGGGGAAGGGAGGTTAAGCCACTTGCCCAAATCACACAGTGTGGCAGTATGGTAGTGTGGTAGTGGGTGTCAGGACCAGACCTATGTTGTTGCAAAGACTCCTATCTTTTCATGTCACTAGTAGAGAGGTTTATGTGTGATACAAAATGATATGGCTGTGTTGCCAGACTCTGAGTGCTAAGTAAGGCAAAGAGGACAGAAGTTTGTTCATTCAACAAATATTTATTGTTAGACATTGGCTAAGTATTAAACATAGTCATAAAAAGACAGACACAGTTCTTGATCCCATGGGGACTTGTGTAGGAAATATGAAATAAATAAATATAAAATTTCAAATTGTGATATGACAGTGCCTATTGGTGGGAGTGGACGGTCAAGATCTGGGGTTACGAAAACATCTGGAAGGAAGTGACATTCCACCTGAGACACAAATGCTGTGAACACGTTAGCCAGGAGTAAAAATGAGGGGAGGGGGAAGCAGGAGGAGGAAACTTTCTGGCCAAAGGAGGCCTGTGTGAAGGCCTTGAGGTAAGGAAGATCTTAAAATGTAACTAAGATGTCTACAAGTGGCCAGAGCCTAATGGAGCAGGGGCAGGCACACAAGATAAAGCAGAACGAATAGCATAGTTCTGTCCAGCTGCTCTGTAGACGCAGTGACAGCTGATGACGGCTTGGCCAAGAGTACTGGTGGCAGAGATGGAGATGAGGCATCATGAGCAGAACTGGGTGATAGTTGGGATGTGGAGAGGTGAGGAACAGAGTCACGGACGACTCCCACTTTTCCACTTTGAGCAACTGCACTAGTTGTGCTATTTTCTAAGGTGGAAGAGATTTGAGAAAGTGTAGCTCTCTGTGGTTAAGATAAATAGTTCTCTTATGGGCCTATCAGATTCGAAATGCTTGTGAGAAACCTAAGTGGGTAAGTCAAACTGAATATATAAGTCTGGGTCTCAAAAAAGAAGACTGGTCTGGCATATACATTTCTGCACTATTAACATATATTTAAAGTCATCAGAATGAGTATAGGGTTATAAAAATAGACCCAGGGCTGAGCTAAGA